GTAACTGTAGCTCTTCAGCCTTCTTCCATTGACCACCAGAGCTATATGCCAACCCTAGTATTCCAGAACTGGTAAGAGTCTCCTCACTTTCTGGGCCGAATAAGTGTTTCCTCGCGTTTGTTGCTTTCTTCGCCATTTTTTGGCTGTTGACGAAATCCCCTCTGCTCCATGTAAATGACGCTGCTCTATGAAGAATTGATGCCCATTCACCGAGCGAGGTTTCCGTAGATGGCTGTTGCGTCACTGCACACTGTACGTGAGCAAAGAGCGCTTGGCACTGTCGTTCTCGGATATTCCCGTAGGGAAATTGATATACAGCTTTCGAATAAACTGTTCCTTCCAGCTCTCATGATTTTTATATGCCTTAAGCCATTCCTGAGTCGCTAGTTGAACAGTCGATGCATCTCAAAGTTCGTTCCATCTGCACTGACCGATACCATTGAGTAGTCCCTCAACATCAATATATCGTCTTCAAACTTGTCGATCTGGCTGGATACACTTTTGCTCTCTATGTCGCTTCCATCGCTTTCATTACCCGTATCATTTGCAAATTGACTGGTCACGGTTTCTTTTATCCCTTTCCCACCTAGGAGCAGAGTATCAGGAATCCCCTGTCTATCGAAGAAACTCATTAGAGATAACAGATCTGCCGCTGTTGGTCTCTTTCTCCGAATATAATCAAATGAAATTTGCCATGTGACAAGGATAGAGTTTTTGGCTTCTGGGTCTCTACGGAGATGGCCCTCGTCATAATCAAGAAGACTGGTCTTCTGGCGGTCACTCTCCCGGAACCTTTCTAGGTATTGCTTAACCGACTGGCGTGGTGCCCTTCGCTTGATATATGCCGCCGCTTGCACAATCGCTAGCGGCATAAACTCTAGTGCTGCGGCCAACTGCATCACATCTTCTCTATTAACTTGCGCTCCAAGCTTCTTGGTAAAGAGCGATGTTGCATGGCTTCCGTCCATTGGTTCAACTGGAATTATGTCGTAATCTTCCACGATTCTTAAGGCCACTCGTCTGCTTCGACTTGTTATAGCGACGAAACCTTTCAAGCTCCGAGAGAGATGTGTCCAGATTGATTGTCCTAGTTTGCCACTCTGATCACTCGTAAGGACATCTGGCTCAACCGAGGTGCTTTCATAGAGGAATTCATCATCATCGAGATTATCAAGAACAAGAACCCACTGTCCAGTCTTCGCATCATTTAACCAATCGAATAGGAGTTTGAAAATATCCGCATTAGGACTCTGCCGGCCAGGTATCTTGGCTCGGTCGGCAATCTCCCAGCAACTCTGCTCGAAACGAGTTGCATTGCTCGCATGAATCCAGAAAACCCATGTTGCGGGCGATTGATCTCGAACTTGATAACAATACTCGATAGCAAGTTGCGATTTTCTTAGAAGCTGTCAGTAATAGAAAGTCAGCTAACCGTTGTGAACTCACCCCACGCCACCTAGGCCGACCAGCGCTATCCTAGCACCTAGTGCAGAGTTTTTTTCATGTATCTGATGGAGCAGCGTTCCACGATCAACGTAGTCTGGATCGCGACGGAATGGGACGGTCGATAGAGGGGCAGGTGGAGTCTGCGGTCGCTCTGGGCCAAGAAGCGGGTATTAGTCAATTCACCTCGTCTGGCAAAGGGCCTTGTGAAACCTACCCGCGGGAAGATAGACCGATCCATTATTGATTCCCACCTGGTTACCCGAGTTACCGTACCCGAATGATACAGAAGTCATAGTCAGCACGCCGTATACACTGTGTAGATTTTTGGAAAGAGCAAAGATCCCAACCCCAAGCAACGACGGCCATCCTCAGCCCCACTATCAGGTGACCTTCCGGGCGCTAAAATTTGCCAAGTGTTAACTTCTTTCTTGTCTGAAGGGCTTTCTTCTCTTCAGCTAGTCCCAAGAGCAAGCGGGACCTCTTTGTATTTTCGTGTCAGATACAGTGACACCTCATGCAGTGACTGTTCATAAGTCTTAACAACGCCTATAGCCTCACCTATATACCGCCTTCCTATATAATCTACCCCACTATACAGTACGCGCTAATGGAAATTCATCTATGTCTCGTATATCTCGCGTTTCTCACCCTTTTTTTTACTTTTTTGTTCCTTCTTTATATGCCTGCTCGCTCAGAACTCACTCCAGCCTGATCTGAATTCTAGCTTAATTTAGCCTAGGCCATTTCACCATCGGCTTGGCGTTAGGGTTTGCGATAGTTTCTCTGTGTGAAACATGGAAGCCGGTTTCGAATGTTGCGGTACCATATGTCATCATCTGTGTCTTTGATTGTGGGTGCATCGGTCATAATCAATGGAGGAGAGGATTTGCATGGCATCGGAGCGGGTGGCCATAACCAATGGCTGTCATCCGGCTGCTCATCCATGATGTCCTCCGGCTCGCCCACGCGGCAGTTCTTAGACATCGTGTGTTCAGACTCGGCTCTCTGAGAGGCCGCTTGAGATCTTGTTGAGCGCTGGCTTGCCGATTGTGCCGGGGGTGGGGCGTGTTCCTTGGGCTTGGTCTTTGCGCCCTTCAGGCGACCCGGGCCTCGTCTGGGCTTCGCAGGTTTGATGGGCTGCTCAAGTGAAATATCCGTTCTTGTTGGTCCTGTCTCTAGGTCAATTGTGACCGGCGGGGGGCAGTGGGAGGGGTCCGTCTCCCGCTGCCCGTCCGGTGCATGTATAGATGCATCCCGGCCGTCTTTTTCGGCCGGACTCGGTCTGATCGGAGCTGGCAGTGGGGTCACCGCTTGCGGGATTTTGAAAGTGCAGCGGGATGCGGTGGTATGCAGGGCAATCGGCTAGTGCCCGTTTTACCTCATCCAACACCGCAATCTTCACCGGACACTCTCCACTGGTGGGACGGTGTCCGTCCGCCACAATTGGCGCATTTGACTGGTATCGCCTGCCCCCGTGTCGAGGGACACTCCCAGTCGGGTGCTCGTCGGCACAGTGGCCACATTTGAAAACGTTGGAACACTGTGACTGGGTATATTCCGGTTTTTGGCATTTTCTGCATAGCTTCGTCCGTCCTTCTCGGCAGAAACGCGATGCATTGTGAATTTTCTTCCCCCATACGACACCAGTGATGATAGCACGATTGGCCATGACTGGGCCTGTGAACTCGATCAGGATCGAGCCCTCAGCCCGGATACCGGGTCGCGTCAGCCAACTAAGACACTGGATCCGGGCGCCTTCTCCCCAGTCGTTCTATCTCAGCAGTTCGGCTGCGACGTGGGTCATCGTTTCCGGGGTGAGCTTCATCGATCTCACAGGGACGTGGTACGCCAGATAGCGCCGACATATGGAATGTCGGAACAATGGTTTGTACTTTCCCTTTTTTTTTTTTCTTACTATAACAGAATTGATCTATACTATAGTTGTGGAGCTGCTGGCAGATGCCACTCTCCTAAATGGGCGGTGCCATCCAGATGCACGATATTCAAGGGAGGTCATGTGGCCCCGACGATAAGACTACTGGGGAAGCCACCGTCTCATTTTTTGGAGGGCTGTGACACCTCAATTCGAAGGAGTCTATTCTCACCAACGGGCAACTGCTCATTTCCCTTAATAACAAGAAAGCCATCTAACGTTTCACAGGTGATTTCTTATGCCTTGATTTGATTCCATCTGAAGATTTCAGCTCTGAGGCCTCAGTGCCATTCCTTTCCGGGGAAGAAAAGCGACTCTTCATCACATTCGCCCTCAAAATGCTGCACTGTGATCCTAAAAGCCGAGCCACTGCAAGAGAACTTATCCAGGACCCTTGGCTTCAGTATTGAATTGTTGAGAATTGAGGATTTTCAATCTAGCAATACCAACGTTCAACCCAATGGGAATATCTGCCACGCGGAAAGCTCATTAAGGGCCATTCATAGGAAAATATATTATTTTAATTTTACCTTTTTTGATTGTTCCTTTCCACGGGCTCGAAGACACTGCAAAGCACTGGAGAGCACACCAGTCCGCTCAACTTTTGACATGCCTTCTCGCCTGAGGCAGGTGATTTCAACACCAGCCACACGCAGTGAGTCATGTACGGAACTGTAAGAACCTCAAAGAACCCTCGGGACTAAAGTATCTAAACGGTGGGGAACACAGGATTGTGGGTGGGTATCATGATCATCGCAGGATGACCAACGTGGGGTAGCCTCACGACTGGACTGTCTAGCCACTACATACTACGATGTCTCAGTGTGCTCGACTTATCTATTCTATAATTATTTTCCTGAAATATGGTTGGTGTTCCAGTAAGACATTCAATATTTCTTAACGCGTGCAGAGTATCTAGCTAGGTAATTCCAAGAGTGGCCGTCTAAAGAGTGTGAGGCTGACAGCCTTGTCCCGAAAGGGCGCATTTCAATCATATCAAAGACAAAGGAAAATTGGCAAAAAATATTAAACCATCGACACAAGTTTCTCCACATGAAACAATGAGTCACAGTAACAACAGCCAATAAAGCGTGCAATAAAAGCGAGAAAAACACTTGCATACACATCGTCGACTTTCCGCATCTGTCATTGGCCAATGTCCCCACACCTGCATATCCTCCTTCTGTGAGGACACCAGTAATGGGGTCTGGCCAAGGTCGCAGATTTCTTGCGTACAATCAAAGCAATTGATCGAGTCACAACCAAGTCGGGGTCCGAGACTAGGAAATCCCGCAAGTCCAGAACCCCGAAGTGCACTCGGGTCAAAGATCAAAGCTGGAAAACAGAAAAGTGAATTTCCGAGGGCGCATCCAGGCAGGCCCTATCAATCCAGATCATCAAAGACTGGGGTATGGGAGGGGGGTATGCCGGTAATGTGCTAGTTCCACATCACCGGCAAAGACCGTCTTGCGGTCAGAATGGGGGCAATCAATGCCCATCGCAAGTGAATTGGAGCTTCTTCAAAGCGATTTGAGTGGGGCGGGTATATGATCGTAATCAGATAAACCAGAGTCGAAATCCGTTGCCAGGTACGTTGTCGAGTACGTTGCCAGGTATACGTTCAACGGTGCTTGGGGGAGCCCTCCACATACCGGCGAGGAGTCTCGTAGTGGCGCTCCACACGCTCCTGTCGGTCGGCGCTGTACAATGACCCACGGCTCGAGGATGGGCGGCTGGGAGAGCCACCGGGCGAGCGGTACATGATCGAAGTTGGCGAGCGAGAAAGGCGTGGGGCCCTCTCAATGACCTGGTAAGCCTCGGGGGACATGGAGCGAGGACGAGTCTGCTTGCCGCTTACCCGGCGAGCTGGGACGGGGTAGGTCCGGTCGTAGCTGGTGGACTGAGCAGTCTGAGCAGTCTGAGCGGGCTGGACGGGCTGGACGGGCTTTTGGACGACGACGGCCTTCTCACGGATGCGCAGGCCCTGTTCGAGTGCTGTGAAAAGCTCGCGGGAGGCGAAGGCATCCCGGGGCAGCTTCACCCGTGTCGACTTGCCACTCTCAAAGTCTACGGTGGAAAAGTGCTTGCCGCTTTGGCTGTAGATGTAGTTGCGGAGGGTGCGGGCGCGGGTGTTGCCCGACTCGCAGAGTGCACGACCATCCTTGTATGTCTGGATAGCGTGGGAGCAGTAGCGGCAGTGGCTGGCATGACGCTCAAAGTCGTCGACCACCAACTTCTCGTCGTCATAGAGGTCACGCACGACGGCGAGAGGATCTATAATCTCGATGGGGGCAGGCATTGTGTTGGTACGGCGTAGTGCAAGTAGGCGTCGTGTCAGACTAAGACGAGGAGATTTCTCTCTCGAAGTTAAGTGAGTCGTGGGGTCAACAATGTACGAGGTCGAGCGGTAGGACGACACCGTGACTGATTTATGGGGGTCACGGGAAGATGGTATATGACCACCGTATGTAGATGATCGGATGTGAAACCCAAGTGTGACAATGGATATGGAATGTGAAATGTCGAATGTATGTCAAGTGTATGTAGATTGAGGAAGATATTCTGTGGAAAGGGGAGGGGCACTCGAAGGTTATATACTATGCAAGTGCTATGCAGGCTCTATAGATGGCGCCCTGGAGCCTGGAGGGTCTTTTGTCTGCCAGTGGGGCCTTAGGGATCTGCAATACCTGCATAGTACTTAGCGCATCACGCTAAACATACGGGAAATCCAGGTACTATTCTTGTCACGCGCTTTATCCGGATTATATGTGGCTAGTGAGGCTGTGCTTTGGCTTCAAAGACCGCCGTATTCGCCCTTATCGTTCTCCTGATTGGCCCAAGTCCCCCCTTTGGACGGTCAACTTCACTCTGCACTTCTTCAACTTTATTCCCACTATTTCCCTTTCGGTCCCCCGACTCTATTTCCAAGGCATTATTATTTTTGTAGCCTTGTTCTCATGACATCAACCGTCATACTCGGTAACTGACGAGTTTTATTACGCATGTCATTCACCTGTCTAAATCGTGTGGCTTATTTTTCTCGTGTTCCTGCGCCATGACAAAGGTCTCGTGTTCCCCTTTGTTACCCCCTGAGAACAGGCCTGAGGTTCGCGTCATCGGCAACCCTTTTGACTTGACAATTAGAAATAAAATCTCAAGATTCAACCAGAGCCAGTGCATTCAGAAGGAGGTGTTTGATCGCAGGGTTCCCACCCACCCGTTCCCCACGCTCAATAGGCTCCTGCAACCGCCGCATTGCGACGAGCGCCTACCGAGACAACTCTGGAACTCCCAAAACCACCTCGCTGGGACACCGAGCACTGTTCTCTTGTTCCATATTTGGAGATCCTCGAACGTTTCAAATTATCTAAGAATAGTGCGCTAATTCGGATTCTTTATTTTGGACCCCAACATTTCAGGATTCGCACCCGCCTCAACTACCCCTCTCAGCCTCAAGCCACGAGGTAAACAATAGCTCTCATCCAATGCTTTTTCCACTCTATTCCTAATGTAGGATGACTGCTCAGCCTCAGCCACTAAATTCGCTATCTCGGATTCGTGATTCGATACACCAGCCACTGATGTCTTCTTTCTGCTTACTCGCAATTTCCCCTTGGCGCTGCGCCGCCGGCACTCAGGCCAAGTGTCCCTATTCGATCATGACCCTGTTTCGATCTCGTTCCACGTCTTTCAATTAACGTCGCTTGACGCGCACGCCAGGCTCCAATTTCTTCAATAGATCTCCCTAACTCCCCAGGCAACAAGATGCCACATTGTTTATACCAGGGGGTCCGAGCCTCCCGTTGCGTGCGACAAGCTCAAAAAGACAGGTTGTTCTTTTTTTGCAACGTACTCTGCTTCATCAAACGCCGACGGACGTTTATTCATGGATCGTCATGATATGCCCCTCATGCCAACATATACCCCCGAGCCATTCATTGTTCCCATACTAACCGCCGACCAAATCATGGCCTGAGCTAACCTTAGTCGCATTGTCAGTTGCATTATTGCAACCTCTTACAACAGCCCGGCCGGGCTAGCTCAATCGGTAGAGCGTAAGACTCTTAATCTTAAGGCTGCGGGTTCGACCCCCGCGTTCGGCTATTCCTACAAACCAGACCTGAGATTTCTTTTTTTTTTCGCTGATAAAAATTCTGCTTGAGCCTCCCCAGCTCATAATCGAAGCTGACTGGCTGCTGTGGCCATTGGGATCCACTAGTGGGTCGGACCGATGCTTTGACAACTGCTCGATAGTAAATCAGTGGAGCATTATGTTTTTGCCTCCACGATGGAGCCATATCCTGCGTATGAACAAACAAATTGTACTTCGTAGATAACAAGCCCATGCAGCATGAAAATTCTTCACCACGTATGACTAGCAAGGTAAAATCCTGGCCATTTGTGGCTTGACTAGGCCCGAGCGCAAGGCAGAGAACGCCTTGTGCAGATAAGGGCGTGACAAGGTTTGCCCTTCAGCTGGACATGGATCATTGGATACTATACTCCGTAATGTATAGAGGCATTGAATTCACCATTCCAGAAAGTAAACACGCCATAGGACCATTGACTCATCATCATCTCAAGCTTTATGTTACGAACCTGCAAGAAAACTGCCAAGATATATTGCTGAGCTGAATGCCTCGTAAAGTGGCTGCACCATCGAGCCGGTTTTATATCGTGGTCATGGACCTATTTGCATATGACTCCCAATTCTAATTCATCTAGACAAAATATGTCCACTGTCTAATCAACTTCGGGAGATAGGGAAGGAGTACAGACCTAGTCCAAGCCTACCATATTCCACACCAGCATGGCAGCCTACAACGGACAACAACCCCGCATTGAGAAAGATACCGACGGCATTTGCCACCTAGGCTGATTGCAATAGTCTGATGGCTCGTTTCAAGGCTCGCTACCCATCAACTTGGACATCTGCCTTGGGTGTAGTGTCGTACTCCGCATGTTGAATCTTCCAGGGCTTTCTTTCCCTTCACTTCCCCTCTTTTGTCTACCACAGCAGCCTTAATCAAAAGAAATTAGTTTGTTGCAGTCATATCGCTACCGGGAGGGGCTATGATCCACCGTCTGAACTGCAGCCTTGTCTATCTGAAGACGAACGCCAATTAGATATTAATTCGTAATGAGTACAGCGGGGGCGCTAGACCCGCTTCCTTTTGATATGCCACCAAATATCGGCGAGGTTGATCACAAAGACGAGAAGCTCTAAGGATACATACGCAGTATACTCACGGCTGATATGGAAAGAGCTAAGGGTTAAGAAGCCATATCACTCCCTCGGGGAGACTCTTCAGGTAAAATGCAAAAAAAGAGAGAAAAAGAAAAAGAAATCAAAGAAAAGCAAACGAAGCAAAAGCAGACGGGGAAAAAGGGAAAAGAAACGGAAAAAAGGATCTTACCACCTTTGCCCCCCCCCCCCCCCCCCCC